CCCATTCGTGTTACTACTACTAATATAGCTGCAACATGACTCTACCACGTAAAACACACACCACATACATACCCTCGGCAATTTGTACAGAAGACCGAAGAGTACAATATGCCACTTTATCTTGAGTATATGGAATATGAGAAGGCCTTCGATTCCGTCGAAATTTGGAAAGTACTGCCATCCTTTCAGCGATGCCAAATTGATTGTCGGTATATCGAAGTGCTGAAGTGTTCGTTCAGTAGGATAACGATGGCTATCCGAGTACAGAACCAGAGTTCGAAATCTATTCAACTACAGAGAGGTGTAAGACAGGGTGACATAATATCCCCGAAACACTTCACCGCTGGATTGAAAGACGTTTTCACGCAACTGAACTGAAAAGGATACGGTATTTAGGTCAATGGCGAGCACATCACTCATCTTCAATTTGCCGACGACGTAGTCCTTATGGCAGCATTACTGAGGGACCTAAGCACTAGCTCAATAACCTTAATAGTGTCTTCCAACGGATTGGTCTTAAGATGAACATGGACAAAAGAAACGTTATGCGTAACGTCCACGTCACACCTATGCCAATGTGTTGGTAACAAAGCAAAGAAAAAGAAACCGAGAGGTCAATCGACGGATTTAACTCGTCTGGGCAGCATTCAGGAGATTACGACACTGTTCGATGTATGCCGTCAGGCATACATCAAAAACTCAAAACAATATTGTACAATCAGTGTGTGTTGCTAGTGATGACCTATGGATCCGAGACGTGGTCCTTCCCTGCTGATAGTATGAAGCTCAAGGTAGCTCAGAGAGCTATGGAGAGGGCCACTGCTGGGAGTTTTTTTTTGCATGATAGCATTAAAAACGAGGATAACTGCAGTAGAACCAGAGCAACTGACATATGTAGTTAAACATATTAGTAAACCGAAGTCAATGGGCCGGCCACATAGCTCGAAGAACCGACAACCGATGGGGAAGAAAGGTTATCGGACCAGCGGCGAAGCGTAGGGTGTTCCCGCACTAGTTGAAGTGACCACCTGGTATGATATGCAAGAAGTCGATGGATGCAGGTGGCTCGGGACCGTGCTTTGTGGCATTCCTTGAGCCTATGTTCAGCAATGATTGTTTTGTTTGATTTAATAAATAGGTACTCGCTGTTGCTTGTTGATTCGTTCACGTCAAATTGCCGCCAGCCGGGCGCCGTGTGATAGCTAGCACTTTGGCAGTATTCGACTCCATCTCGCCACCTCTCTTACGCAACCTTACGGTTTCCCTTGGCACGTAACATTGCGGGCGCAGTTAGAAGTTAATTTTATTGAAAAAAATCTTGGCGCTTGCCGCCACCCCCTTTCGTATGCCACCCGGGGCCATGCCTCCCAACATCCCCCCACGCTACGCCACTGGATCCTGTATGAATGGACGCTTCCAAATTGAAGAGAACGTGAAAAGCGAGAAATATTTTTATCGCTATTTTTTCCACTTTGACGAGATGCCCAATGGCTTGCTACCAAACTCCTGCCAAGTTCTCACAGTAGTGAACTAATGTGAGCAATAAGCTTGAACACGGGGCTCTGCAAGGAACTGTGTCATCATGACAACGCGCCCGCGCACTTAGCGCTTAAGACCAGGGACTTCCTGAACAGTACACCAGTTAAGCTTTTGAATCACCCTTATTTGATGAAGATTTGATTATTAGTATATATATATTCACCAATCAATCAATATATCACCCTTATAGACAACGTGCGATTTATTTTATTTCCTAAAATAAAAAATCTGATGTAGCCTGTACCTGATGCGATGAAAATTGGTTCAGACTTCAGACGCATGTAACTTTGTACATATGATGGTAAACGGTTTTTTTCAATATTTTTTATTTCTATTAATAAAAGTAATCGCTCATCCAATCGATGCATCTTTGTGTGGTAGTTGTTTATTTACGCCTTATTGATGAAATCAGCTGGACGGGAGGCAACAAATTCTTCAAAGGCATTTTATACTGCCTCTCGGGTATTTTTATCCCGCCAAAAAGTTATCCAAATTCTGGAAAAGTAGAAGTCTGTAGACGCAAATTCTGGTGGTACGGCGGATGATAGAGAGCTTCCAACCCCAGCTCTTGTAACTTGGAGACCGTCCGTTGTGCAGTATTAGGTCGCGCGTAGTCGTGCAGAAGGAGCTGGGACGAGTGATTGAACAAAGCTGGTTAAAGGCGTGCGAGCTTCTTCATAATTGTTTTCTGTTCTTACAGTACACGTCTGCAGTAATGCTCATCCCGTTTGGTAAGAATCTGTGATGAATCACCCCGACACTAGACCACCAAACTGTGGCCATCATTTTTCTAAGGATAAGTTTTCATTTAGGTTTTGAACCAGGAACCAACTTGCTGAGCGCTTGCGATTGTCAAATAGAATCAATTTTTGTCACAGGTGCACAATACTATTCAAAATTCCTTCGTTTGTGTGCTTGTCGAGCATTGCAAGGCACGTCTCTACGCTTACTTCACACTGGCGATCCTTAAGTTTGTGGGGCACCCATTTGTCAAGCTTTTTTACCTTGCCTATTTGACGCAAATGTAGCAATATTGTTTTGATGCTGACGTCGAAAGCTGCTGCTAATTCAGCCGTAGATTAAGTATCAGCAGCTTCCACAATCGCCTTTAATTCGTAATTCTCGACCAGTTTTCGGACTACTGTAGGGTTCATTTTTCAGGTCGAAATCTCCAGAACGGAAGCGGGCAAACCAATAACAGGTGGTGCATTCGTTTATAGTATTCGCTTCGTAAACGTCGTTGATGTTGCGTGCTGTTTGTGCCGTGTTTCTGCCACGGCGTACTTATTCGCATTTACTAAATGCACAGGTTATAAACGAACTGTAAGGAACTTTTTATAATGAACGACAAAAATAGGAACGTGGAAATTTCTACATGATTATATTTCATGAAGAAATAGATCAGTTCTAATCAAGTTTTTTTGTTCCGCTAAGAGAGTTATTTCGTTTATCCACACTAAGACAGCCACCCCAAAGTTAAATAAGTCTTCATTATTAGCGCAATAAAGTAGAATAGATCTCAGGTTGGTATAAGAGTACTTATATATTTTTAAGGTATATTTTTAAGGATAAACGGAATATTGCGCTATAAAAGAATTTTTGAAAATTTTACATAAATATATAAATTTCGTGTTACAACTACAAGTTAACCTGCATCGGATGCCTATATCCTAAAACAATAAATATCATCCGCAAATCTGTTTGCTGAATTTACTTTGTATTTGTTATTTTAAAAAAATTACATTATTTTAAAATATTAAAGGTACAACCAAAATATTAAACATTTTGGTTTTACCTTAAACCTTGTTTTCAAAAGTCTATTTGAGCATGTAAAACAGGACAACTCGGTTACATGCAACACAGCTATAATGACGAATATCATTATGTGATAACCATCATCACAATTATGATTACAGCCCATCATAAATCCACCGCTGCATATAGGCCTCCTCCAAGGAATGTGACAAAGCATGATCCTGAGGCACCTGCATAAATCGGCTTTCTGATTCTTTCTATCATTTGGTAATCGGAAAAGGCTAAAAAATTGTTATAATGTATATATAATCATGCGTTTACATATAATACTTCGACAATTTACTCAAAAATGGAACTATCCTAATTAAATAATATTAGAAAGCATGGTTGCCGAAGCAAGACTTTTTTGGCTGCAATTCGGTATAATTTGGTAGTCAATTGTAAAATAGGGGGTCACGTGAGCAAAGACACGGTCAAATACTAATATCCCATAAAATAGTACGATATCTTCTCTTGTAATTGGGTAGAGCCTGGCTATGTATAGGCTATGGAGGCGATGATGCCAGGCATGAAAAATGCTTCATAGCTTGTCTTCATCAGTCTTAAAAATTTTACTTTTAAGAGGTTAACGAATTAAAACTGTAATAATGATAACGGTTACTTGGCATTTTTAATACCTACACATTCATGTTATGAAATTATAATAATCATCATTTCATTGAGTTCAGTTGATACTCGTTAATGAGGTGCCGATATCTTCAGCGATTAAATATTTTATTGCCACTCATTCTGTGGATTATGAATACTTTCACTACTATAGGGCTCTAGTACTTTCAGGTTTAAGAAAACTCAAAATTCGTAATTTCGTGATTAGTGGTTAGCATACCAGTAAATACAATATGATTTTGAACAAGACAAACAGAAGACCTTGTCTATCCCAAATGACGGTATAGAGGCCATGTCCAACTGTGAACTTTTATGGCTGAAAATATGTAAAAGAAAAATACTGTTAACTGATTTGTTAATATCTTTAAAATTGGACCGACATTAACTCTTTCCAAGAACAACATCATTTTTAAAAACATTTTTTTGTTCGTTTTTGTTTGCTTGATGTCGTGTCATAACTGCGACACAATTTCGCTATTTTAGTAATTTCAGAAGGTTCCTAGGAGTAAGTGTAAGAGGATTCTGAAGGTAAATATTTAATTACTAAATTTGTAACGATATGCGAATAAAAATAAAACATCATCGCTTCCGCCGTCGCATTCCATATATTGCATGAAAACAGAACAATATTCAATAATTTTGTTTATAAAAATTGATTTAAAACATACATTAAATTGTTTAAAAATAAACTGTAAAAGTTGAATTTAGATTAAGATATTCACATTTTCATCGCAACGAATGCGACCTATACTCTAAATAAAAGAAAAATGAAAAAATGAAGAATTAGCGCCACCTATAATATTGTCAAAAGGTGTTATATGATGATGTTCTGTCCCTCGACCGATGACGTGTTAAACGCTGCTCGATGTTAAACTGTTATTATTATTCGAGATACCAACTAGAACACTTAATTAGCTTAACAAGAAAAAATCATCAAAAATAAAAGAGCTCCTAAACCTCCCGTTGAGCAGTATTCAATCGACCTGCAATTTTTGCACGGTACGCATTTTCTTTTCACTAAAATTGAGAGATGGAGCAGTTTACTTTATTAAGCCTTTAGCCTTAAAAAGGTCGCGCATAAGGCCCTTTAGATAACGAATCTCACGCTGAAGATCTGAACATTTGTCGCCAAGCTCTGTGTGGCGCTGACGCAGCTGCTGCTCTTCATTAAGCAGAACTTCAATCTCGGCCTTTTTCTTCTGACGATAGCGGGTGGCAGCATTCTTATTCTGCTCCTTTTTGCGCGAACGACGGTCATCTACATTCCGAGAATAAGGTTTAGGTCGAGACGGAGCAGACCATTCTTCGTCAGTTGACGACGAACGCGGCGACGAGGGTGGTGAAGAACGAGGCGAAACACTACCACTGTCGGCTGAACATTGAGGGGATGATAATAGAGCTGCGCGATGACGAACCAGCTCTTCAACAGCTTGGAGATCGCAATCGTATTCAGCTGGCAACACTGACGACGTATGCGCGACAGGCCATTGATCTTGAGCAGCTTGCAAAGGAAGTGTGGGAGCAAGAGGAGCATATTGAGCTTGCTGTGCGTAACTCAGCAGCAACTGAGTAGCAGGGCCAGGCGGACTCTGCGGCGGGGTAAGATGAGTCAGCTCCACCGCGCCATACACGGATTCGAATTCACGTAGAAGTTCTTCCGTCGGCTGTGGCACCACATGACTGTGGTAGGAGACCGCTGGAGGCACTGGCGCGGCTTGCAACGGCGCCTCAACGCGTTCTGGCACTTGACTGATGTTTTCAAAGATTGGAAGCTCCACCTTCTCTTCGAGCCAGTTGGGAAAGATGTTTTCTATAAAGAAAAATAAAAGATTGTTAAAATTTATTTAAAGTTACCTTCTCAAATTTTAATTGTCAGATACAACATAGCATTTTTATTAATGCATGACTTAAATTATCTCTCACTTTAATTATTATAATTATAATTAATTTCACCGGACTCTATATAATAAAATATAAAATCCGCGCGCTCTATCTTGGTCGGGCTGAAGTTAGTCGCAAGTGGCTGCGCAAATATAGTTTTTAGGAACAAAATGGTGACCAGAGGAAAGGGAGGGTGGGCCTTAACTAAAACTAAAGATGCGAATACGCATATTGCCCCGTTACAATTACGTAAATAATCGATTAGGATTCGATTTTATTTTATAATTTAAGGCTTATCGGTGTATTATTGCAACATGTCGTTCTAAATTACAAATTACAGTGATTATGATGATTCATTCATTCAGTGCATTAAACATTTTATTGAAATTTTTTTAAAGTTATATTATTGTGCGGTTACTTAAAGAATTTGCTGTCTCCGCTAATATCGTGTATTTACTATTTATTCTAACTGCATATCGTAATTATTTATCAGATACTACTGTTTTATTGAAATAGACCGTGAAGTGGCGGTGTAAGAACTAAATATAACTAACTATAACGACTAAAAATAAAAACTGCGTATGCCATCGCGTTTGCCACGCGTGACAACTATGGCAAGTATCCTCCTATGGGGCCTGTGTTCATAATGTCTTTCAGAATGTACAGAAGCCTTACCCTCAATCATAAGTTTCCATAAATTCCTCTCACCTTAGACCTTTTCGAAATATAAATTCAAAAACTAAAAATGTCTATCACTCTTCATTTTTACTTTATAAAATCAGTTAAACTTTATTTTTAAATGACAGATCAATATATTAAAAAATGCCACTCATGTTTCAATGTGCACATGCACGTGTCGAGATGGTACGACTTCTTTTTTTCTTTACAGTCTTTTATATATGCCGCCAAATAGCACCGCACTGCTGTGTTCCGGTGTGAAGAGTTAGCCTTCTCTGTTTTAAGTTTGTTGAAGGTGCACTTACCGACAGGCAGACTGTTAGTTTGTATGTCACTTTAATTTAATAAGCAACAATACGGGAAGACAAAGATATTTTATTGTAACCTTACAGATGTAATCCTTTACATGTATTGAATGTTTAAGATATGCTGCAAGTTTCATATTGCTTTGTACGAGTATGTGAAATAAACTTGTAAATTTAAACGAGCAAATCTGTGTGTTGATTTTATCGGTATTGTAGTTATTGAATAAAAATCAAAAAAGTTTAACAGTGGATAATAAGTTTGACATGATTACTATGTAAGGTTAGTCAATAATATATAGACGAAACCAAAAGAGGTCAAATATTAAACCCTGAGGGATGCCCTTTTGTGATATCGAAGAAATTTTACTGTCCGTACATGTTTTTGAGTTGTTACTTTAATATAAAATAAACTATTTAAAAACAACATTTCTTACACCATAATGTAGTATTTTCTGATTAATGTCTTACGAAGAATTTTAGATATGCCACAAAAAATAACAAAAGCATCATGTAAATTCTCCAATGCACAGAAAATATACTTTAATCAGCTACACACCGCATCAACGTCGAGCAACCCTTGTAAAACTGTAGCGACTTTATGAAGCAAATTTTAACTAACAATATATGAAAATAGAATAAAATTTTAATTTTCCTATTATTTAAATACTTATATAATAAAAACATTAGCGTCAAAGTTAGAGATAGTTAAAAGTGAATAAACTGTAAAGTGATATCTTTCGTGTAACCTAAATAAATGTTATAATTGTTCGAAAATTCAAGAGGAACAGAAGAGTCTACTGATATTTGACCTCACTTGTGTCACTCACACACAAATCACATTAAGCGATTTGTATCTTATCATTTTCCTGAATGTTAGGTCGTCATTTATCGTCGTTTAACTTGCCTTGACTACTAAGAATATGTAAGATTTATTATAAAAACCAAACTAAAATACATTCTTTTATTTAAAACAAGACAGTCATCATCATCATCATTACAGCCCTTCACAAGTTCACAGCTGAACATAGGCCTCCACAACAAGGAATGCCACAACGCACGGTCCTAAGCCCCCTGCATTGATTGCCTGCACGGCTTACCAGGTCGTCACTCCATCAAGTGGGGTCGCCCTACAGTACCCAACAAAGATGATAAAATTAAACTTTATAGTTATTACTTACACGCAAAACATTCCATCGCATTTTGATTAAAATAATAATGAAATATTAAAATATCAGTGTCAACTTATCGTTCGTTCACATTCAAGAATCTAAATCACATATGAAATTTGTTGTACTATATTTACAACTAACGCATTAAATCTCACGACGATGTAAGTAAAGATACAAGACAAACCTCCCTGAACTAAATAAACATCTCATGTTGCACGCAAATCGTTAGCCGTGCAGACCTCGAACCATTGTCCAGTCAACTGATTGGTAACGACTAACTATGTACATAATTGACACAATCTGTTTGTGATTTAGTAGTTTAGTACTCATTTCACTCGCTTCGCGTTGTATAAACTTAGCACTTTTATTTATGGAATTTTATTTTTAAAAAGGACTAAAAAGTCAGCCTAGACGGATTTAAAAAAAGATCTAACGGTAGATAAATTTATTTATAAATTGAAAACAATATTAATATTTTGGGGATTTCCACAATTCATTTTGAAATCACGATTCTTTCAATGAATTTAAGATTTCATAAATAATCGTTTAACTAACATAGTTAATGTGATATAAAGAAAATATTGCGTGATAATTAAATCAACCGATTCGGTCAAATTAAACAGAGATAAGTGACCGCTTATCATCCAACTAATAAAAGTAAAATTTATAATGTAAATTTTTTATAATTTGTAATTTAAATCAGGGCGGGCTATAAGAAGTTCCTTGACTTAAAACCCCACGGACACTTGATAACAACAAGATAACGAATAGTGGTAGTGGAAGGAGATTTGAACATAAGTTTGGACATAAGTCACCTTCATTTAAAAGGAATTTGCAAAAACCAAGAGTATTTTATAGCAAAGCTGCAAGAAATTCATTGCAACTATTAATAAATCTATCACAGTTCATTAAATTCAAATTAACTTATTAATGTACAAATAAGTGTATTTGTGTCATGAATTAATTTGCGCGGCAATGCAACTCTAATAATAATCAGGGTCTCTGAGATACGAAATCATAAACTAAAGCAATCATAGCAGGCGAGACGAGAGCGTACAAAAATCAATTGGGAGTAATTGATGAACTCAAACTTCGATGTTTGGTGTAGGTATGCCGATTGACTGATGGCATAAGCGCATTGAACGTTAGCTAAACATGTGATATACTTGTCGATAATTTCTTAATAAAGACTTAATAACATGAAATTAGTTTGGTCGCACTTCACTTGGCAAAAATTACTAACAAATGAAGACTTTTTGTTTTTAATTTAAATACAAATTTCGAAAAAACAGTTAAATATTTGACTTTTTTGGCTTTTCGGCTTCGGTTTGGACTACAAGCATACTAAAGATCTTGAATTTTGTAAATAATAGTTTGCGATAGATTTTGATACATAATTAGACCGCATATGTCTTGCACAGTAAATATCTGCACACAGTGTTAATTATAACAAAAAAATTGGCTAAAGTTACTATTGCTTAAAACACTATCGCCGCGAATTCGACAAAACTAGCACTTCACATGGTAATTTTAAATTCATTTTCATGTACAAAAGAAGTGTTGAAACAACTTGTACGTGGTAGAGCCGCGCTGCAGCTATATTATAGTTGTAGCACGAATGTGTCAGCTCGACCGGGGCAGGACCACGCTCTCACAGTATACCAGCGTCAAATAGCAGCGTAATGCTGCTGTGTTTCGTATGGTGAGTGTAGAGAACCGGAGATATTTTTTACTGGAATCTAGGCATTCCATCTTAGTCCTCAGGGGTGACAACGCATTTACATTTTGATCCTTAGTTGAGGATAAATGTGGATGTCTATGAGCCACAGTAACCCTTTACCATCATGTGGATTGTGTGCTCGTTTGTCACCCAATGCTATAAAAAATAAGCTCATATCTGACGAACAAGGAACTATTTTACTTTGAATATTAATAGTTTTTGTAGTTAGTAACATAAAAATATTAAAATACGAGTAACTTTCTACTAAGAGTTCCGTTCCGAGAGTTAGTTTTTCTACTAAGTGAGAATGTGGCATGTGTGTGGTACCGACGCGGAACATCAATGTTTTGTCAAAAAGGTTGCCGCAATGAAAACAATATTTACTTTTGGTTTAGTTGTTTTCCTAAAAGCAATTGAGATCGGCAAAAAGAAGCACGAAAGAGACCAGCCCATTTGTAGAGCTTAATAAAGAATGGCAAGTGATAGTGCAAGCCGATCTACCTCAAACTACTACTTTAGGATAACTACAATATACACTCAATTTGCGCAAAATCGTTAAAAATAAATACTAGGAAAATGAACTCCCTACATCGATTATCATGGATTGTAATAAAATGAAGCACAGGTTTGAACATCACATTTCTTTGGTAGTAGTCCTATATAAGGATTTCATATGAGTTAATTTTTATTTTTTAAATTCAATTATTTAACAGACTGGTTTACCTCTAAAAATAATAGTTAAACAGATGTCAAGGTGTTTTCAAAAACATTAAGAAAATTAAAAATAAATATTATGATCCGTGTTTATAATAGCAAGAAATAACTACGAGTACCAAACTGTTTTAAACTCCAATACGAAATTACATATTATAACCAATACGAGAGAATAAGTTATATCTTGTGAGCTCCGCGGGACACAGCGTCTGACCCTTGATAAACCTACACAATCTCCGCTCTACGTGCCGTCCCTGTGACCGTATTAATGGAAACTACCACACATCGTATCTTTTTGTTAAATTCATATTCATTTATCAGTATAAACAGCTAACTTTAATAG